GTGGCTAGGTGGCTGCCTGCGGGTCCTCCGGCTCGGGGTGGGCGGTCTCCGCTGGGTCCCCCCCTGGCTCCGTGTCGGCCGCCTGCTTCGGCTTGGCGTCGGACGGCGCCTTCCCCAGCTCCGGCTGTGCCATCGCCTGCCGCAGCCTCCCCCTCCTGCCTGCCTGCACCGGTGTCCCCTCCTGCTCCCTCCGTGTCTCCTCCTTCACTCCCTCGACCCGTCCCCTTGGCCCCTGTGTGGTTTCCTCTAGCTCCCTCCTCCCTCTTGCCTGCGGCCCCTCCGGCCGCTGCCCGTCGCCCGCCTGGGCTCCCTCGGGCTCACCTTTGTCCCCCTTCCGTTTCGGTCTGGTCTCCCCTGTCTGCTCCTCCTCCCTTCGTCCCACCTGTGTCTGTTCCTCGTCCCTCTGTTCCTCCTCCTGTGGGTCCTGTGTTCACTCCTGGCCCTTTTGTTCCGCCATTCAGTGTTCCTTCTGTGCCCCCGGTGTCTCCCTTCCTGGTCTGTCTCTCCGCCTTTCCTGTTCTTTGTCGGGTCCTGTCTTTCTTTTAGTCCTTGTTCCTGTTCTGTGTCTCTGTCTTGTTTCCTGTTCCTCGTTAATGTCTTGCTTTTGTCTTTCAGGTCCTGTTCCCTCGTCCCGTCCGTCGCCTCCTCTCGGGCACGCCCGGTGTGCGCGCCTTTGGGGGGGGGTTATGTCACGCCCAGCTCCGTATGGTCCTCGTGTGTGCCACGCCCCCCTCATTACCTCCTGTTTCTGCCTGATTGTTCCCACCTGTTGCTCGTTACCCTTAGCTTGTCTTTTGTATTTAGTCCATGTCTCAGTTAGTTTCCCCAGATTCGTCATTGTAATGTCCGTGGATGTCCCTGCGTGTTTGTCTATTACCGATTAAACCCCTGATTACCCGTGAGTACGGCTGGCTCGCCTTCTTACCCGATCGTGACACACTTCTCACCCAGTAGTCTGTCAGATGGTTTTTATCTGTCTTTCTGGCCACCACACAGTCTGTTCATATCCCAGCTTGTTCAGACACAAATTATTGAAACCGTGACAAAGTTATTGTACATGTAGGCTTTGTGCTCACATGTGTTACATGCATGAGTGGTGTCTCATGCCAGCACATGTGTGGATTCTGTCATTTCCAGGCGGCCTCACTGCATATGCATGAACACAGAAATCAGTCTGAAGAATCATACTTCTCAACACAGCTTCTGGCCATCATGTTCTCTCTGGCACATTTTGGGATTTTGTAATTGTACCTTTAGAACCATGAAGTGAAATATTATATTTGACTTTGAAGTTGGTTGACACAAGATCATTGTAAATATGTAACTTATTTTTGGGAGAACCAACACTTTAATGAATACAATCCAGCTGATGAGTGATATCGGAAGGTAAATCCAGCATTCAAGGCTGTCGATAATAGTCCTGAGAAGAGGTACATAATTCAAATTAGCAAGTTCAGACAGGCTGGTGGAAATTTTACTGCCTAAATATATGATATGACCACTTACATATTGGAATTGGTGCGGTATGGGCTGCCACATCCCATCTTTTGGAAGACAGTGGAAGGATAGATGATTTCAGTGGGGAGTGTGAAAATAAATATATTATTAGTACCCAGTAAAAACCTGCATGAAATGCAAACAAATGAGATTTGCATAGATATTTTCAAATAAATGTCCATGAAATCCATTTATTTTTTACTAAGAATTTTACAGGGAAAATTTTCATCACTGATGTATTGGGTCTGTTTTCTCTAAAATAAGGAATAAAGAGAATTGCTTGTTCATCAGCTTTTCCTTCTAAGAAAATGAAATATTAGGGAAGTTCTGCTGGGTTCAGAGAAGTAATGCAGCTCTGCCTCTATATAAGACAGAGCAGAGGCGCCTCTCAGACCAGACTCAGCTCCTCTCTGTCCTCCAGCACACGGCTGCTCCTCTCTNGTGGGTGTATGGTCTATGTGTATGGCTGAGAGGTGTGTCTGCGAGGTGTCTGTGTGGGCGGTGTGGGCCTGGGTCTGGGGCTAGCTGCTCCTTCCCGGGCGTGGCTGCTTCCTTGGTATGGTTGCTGGCCCTCCTCCCCAGGTGGTGGCCCGGGGGGGGGCTCGGGCCTCTCCGGCGCAAGTGGGGCTCTCTGGGGCCCTGGCCCTGGCCCGTGCAGGAGCGGTCGTCCCCCTCGCGGGGTCGGCTGCCTGTTGCCTCTGGTTCTCTGGGGCTCGTGCCCTTTGGTCTGCGGGGGCTACACCTGGGTCCTCCCTCCTCCTCCTGCTGGGGTGGGGACCCGGCTGTCGTAGGGATGTGGGGCCTTGGCTGTTCCGTGCTCTTGGGGGGCTGTGGACGCCTTGGGTCTCCTGGGCCTGTCTCCGCTGACCTCTGGCTCTTGTGGGGTGTGGTTGCGGCCCCCCACCCTCGCTATCAAGTGCATTCCATGGAGAAATTCACACGCACCCAACACACGCATACTGTACGTGTTCACATACCTCCCCCACACAGATGAACACACATGCAAATACACCTCCACACTCCCTTCCAAGCACACGTAACAATTCTGTATGTCTGTATATCTGTTTTATTTTCATTATTTCCGGTTGTGTCTTTGTATTTATGCATTTTTGGTTGAATTTCAAATGCCTTTTTTTTGTTTTTTTTTTTGCCTTGTTATGTGCTTTTTACGTTACTCCTGTCTTTCTTAGCCTCTCTCTCCCACTGTTGTCTCCCCCTTTGTTTTTTTTTCCCTCTTTCCTCCTTTTTAATCTCTCTCCCTACCCCTTTTCTTCACACATTTTCCTCCTAATCTGTCGCTCCCTTCCAGGCAGCTCAGCAACTTAAATATTTTATGTGTTAAAAATAAAATACAATAAATATACAAATAAAAAGAAACTGACCAACATGAAGGGCCTATACAGAGTTTATAGAGCCCCTCATGGTAAAGCAAATATGTCTGACACAGCAGTGCATTCAGACCATTATTCTGCTTGCTAAAGCTGCCGGACAGGACACAAATTTTTTTTAAAAAGGCCTTATAAGTCATGGTGCTGAGTGTGAAGATAAATATATTATTAGTACCTAGTAAAAAAACAAATGAGATTTCAATAGATATTTTCAAATAAATTAAATCCGTTTATTTTTTAACAAGAATTTTGAAAATTTTCATCACTGATGTATTGGGTCTATTTTCTCTAAAATAAGGAATAAAGAGAACTGCATGTTCATCAGCTTTTCCTTCTAAGAAAGTGAAATATTAGGGAAGTTCTGCTGGGTTCAGAGAAGTAATGCAGCTCTGCCTCTATATAAGACAGAGCAGAGGCGCCTCTCAGACCAGACTCAGCTCCTCTCTGTCCTCCAGCACACGGCTGCTCCTCTCTCTCTCTGTCCATCTCTTTCCTTCTGCCTCTGCATCCATCCAGTTGGGATCCAGTGAGGGAACCATGAAGACTCTGCCTGCTGTTCTGTTCCTGGTGCTGCTCTGCTCTGTGCAGCTCGTCTACAGCAATAAGTGTCTCAGAACCTCAAAA